AGCGAATAATGCTCCGTTTTTAGTCCAAATGCGTTTCATCATTGATCTAGTACGATGCTCGGAATGCGTGAATCGAAAGGCTTTATTTATATTATCATACTTTCTTATAAGAACAATACATCATTTAATAAGCTGTGATCTAGTTTACTGGATGAAGATACATTTAACTGCTATTAAAGAACGGAACGTATTAAACAGGTTGTTCGAGATTTAAGCACCTTTCCGCTAATCAGAGTGTTTACAATAATTATTAATGCTAAACTCTCTTGTAAAACAACAAATAGATTTATCTTTACAACCAGCTGTAACTCAGTAATAATCGTACACTTGTGTAAACAACCCTACAGAGTAAATTAACAAAATAAAAAGTGAGCTACGCTAGGGCAACCGAGCTCCGACGAAGTAACCTGTTTGATCGGCCTGACTCGGACGCCCACGCCTCTCAAATCCGCGCCCGCTCCTTGCTATACGACACACATCACGTCATATATAATATATAGCTGTAGATGTGTACCAATGTTTCAATTCGTCCAACTAGACCAATTGAATAAAAAATAAGAAGCCCTCTACCGCGTCTAAAACTAGTCTAAGACTACAGTGCTATAGATATACGTCTCAAGTTTTAAGATCCTAACTGTATTTTATCTAATGATGAAGTTATTTTTACGTCAATTTCATATATATTCTTAATTATTTCTAAAGCGCCTTCTAAAATTAATAAAACATTAGACAAATAATAAGGAATTAAAGAGTATCAAAATATTGACAAGACTATAATCTCACAACGCGGACGTAATGTCCCAACACGTTGTATCAAGTACGGACTTGTTCAAACAAATTGACGTCACAAATTATTGGTATACTATTACCCGTAAAGCTGGATCCGGTATATGCGGGACTTTTTCCAGAAATTTATTATTCTAGAGAATACGGCGTGGGCTCCGTCTAACATTCCGTCTATACAGACGGATAAAACATACGTTTTTATAGCACTTGATATAGGTAGACATTCTACTTCACAACCTTCCACTTATATTATTATAAGTCTTATAAAAGAAAAATCATTTCGTTCGTATTCTTCCTGAACCACATCCCTGTAATTTACATTCTTCAAAACGAACAATGGACCAATCTCGTATTGAGTGCTGTTGGGTTGATTTTCTCGTGTAACTATTGACGTAATGACGGCCACGATTTCTCGGGATCCTGGATCGTGACCCGAGGCCTTGCGTCATTCCCACGAGCTCGGGGCAACTGCGTTTGGGCAACATTTACGATGAAAGATAAATCTACACCTTCATGTGGCATTGTAGGCACAACAACGAACATAAAGACAAGAGTAATTTCACATTTGCACAAAGAAAATTTTCGTAGATATAATGAACGTTAAATACGTAAGCAAACACATTGCACCTGCGACCATAGAAACGGTAAACAAGTGTTTAACATTTTCTTACAATGACACGCTCCATAATTATCTATTCAAGCTGCGCATCGTTATTTCCTGGAGGACTGCAGACGCAGGCGGTGATTTTAAAAGCGGTGGTGACAGACACCCCCGCCGCGACGCGCTCTACCGATTCACGCCTCGATTGCGGTAGCGTGACACGAAAAAAGCTAATTTAACGCCAGAGAAGGACTCTCCATTTTCCACAGATCCTTTTAATTTTTTTGTCAGTTGCTATCAAGCATTCTAGTCGTCGACGAAAGGATGCAAGACCATTGAACGCGGCCTTCGATGCGCGTGCACCGCATAAAGTGCATCAATTTGTGCTGCATTTTGAACAGTTTTGTAAGCAGTTAATAAATTTCATAGAATATCATCTTAAATTACAAATCACGTGCTGTCGGTTTTCTAATAGCGTCTCAAATCGTTGAAGCTAAACAAGACCTTCGAATTATGCAAATCAGTTAATACTAACAACCGTGTTGACTTTTACTCGTGGTTTATGTTAAAATCTTGAAATGTCAACTTGTAATTCCTACAGCAAAGATTAAATCGTTATAACGGTTTAAATCTTTTAGCTTACTGATTTCTCGTATTATAAAACTAAATGCACGGTAAACAAATTATGTATTATGTCCGTACTTCGTAGGAGAAGAGTCGTGCGCCCGCGCAAATATTTAGGTCGACAAAAATAACCGCCTGTCGAGCCGACCAATAAACGTACTAAAAACATTGTCGTTGTGTGCTAGAAACTCTACACAAAAATCTTACAACTTTATAAACTTACTCGTCTACAATAAATAGATGATTAATGACAATCAAGAATTTATGTGACATTGTCAGAGAAATCTGCAATTATATGCGAAATTGATGTTTAAAATAATAATAATTTTCCTTCCAGTTTATATCGTAATGTACATTTACGTTACGCTATGGAAATTACTTATACATGATAAAAAAATTGATAATATTAATGATGATGTATGCGAGTTGTTTGCAGCGACGCGACCGTGCCCGGCGCACGCGCACGCTCTCAAGGCCATTTTGTTTACGCATACACCCGCATGTTTACGCGTACCCGTCATGTTACCCGCCCGACCTATATAACACTTTGTTTAATATTCAATAAGCCGATCAAGACCACTTCGCGAATCTACCGGATTATACCTACAAAATATGGCGGGAAACGCTTCATTGAACGTTTGGCGGGAAACTGATTCTTGCATAATCACGTGAAAGTATTTTCTTTGTATTTTCAATGGTACCTACATATAACTCTTTAATGAAATCTTGCTATAAGAACTTGAATTAAATTGTTAACTTTATATCTACTATTTACGCACATTTTAGACATTTATTATTCATTAGATATACATACGTATGTGTAGGAATGTATGTTGTAATATTTGTTTCGGTTTGTCCACGTGGTTGTCTGTTGAGAATTTGGCGGGAGTCCGGCGTGGTACACCAGTCGACCTTGGAGCCACGTGACGTCACTGACTTAGTTCCAGACTGCACAAACCGACGCCAGACACTAAAATCCTTTCCGTGGGCTCATATTCATTAATTCTGATCACTATATTCAAATTTACAATCGGTAAAATTAATAATTTATATTAAGTAAATTTCATATAACACGAATTTATATATAATATGTTTTTTTAGAGTAGAGTAAAAAAAAATCTTTGAACAATGATTTTAAAAAATAATAAAACGATTTAATAAAATGTAAACATTGTATCAAATATTTTCTAATACTGCTGCGTTATTATATCAGAAACTTTTTTTTTTCTTTTAGTTAATTATATTTCAATTGTGTTATTTGCAAGCAATTTTCGTTTGTTATCTTTTTTATAACAAACGAAACGAACGGTGGCAAACAAGCATATCTCGTATACACGTCTAATTGTAACGGTTATCGCAAGTTATTACCTTTATGTAGATAGATTAATTATTTACAGTTCAATTTCTTGGACAATTGACAAATTGGCATCAAATCGGGCTTGGATAGTATATTTAATTTTAGTAATTATGTAACTCCTACGTTTTCATCACTGTTCCAATTTGTTATGAGCTAATTCATTTGCTTTAAATTTCTTGTTGCCAAAAATAATATGATAAGATCGCTTCTTTTCCAATTGGGATCCGTTTTCTAATGGTATTCATTTGTAAATTTATGTTCCCATGTGCTAGCGAAAGAGTCAAGCAAATCCAAATGTGGCATAGTAACATATAATGCCTAACGTTCGACCTTGGTTCATCGCGTGCTCGTTTCATTTTTTGTCCATATTTTGCCGATTATCAATGTTAGCCGATCCACTACTGACTTGCTTCTGTTTTAGATTGTACAACAAATAGTCTTTAATAAGATCGTCGACAGCTCATATAAATAAGTTTAATGCATTTAAAATTCATATTTCACTGGATCTTGACTCAATTTGAAACTTTGCGTCGAATCTTATAGAAATTATGAGATGCATAAGTCTACGTTTGTTGCTTTTCAGAATTTCTGTTTACAACATGTAAGAGTGTTAATAATACACTAGGTAATATTACAAACTATCTTAAGCGTAAAATCGTAAATGCAGAGTCATGCAATTCTTTGATACTCGTAACATACTTATCTACGTAATTACTTGAATATGCAACGATTTCTCGTATTATGTTACACAAAACAAAGATACACTGACTGATTGTAGACAGCGCGTAACCAGATATGTAATGTCGCCAATAGGACTCGCCCGGGCGATAACGTGTGCTATAGCTTTGTATTATTATAACACAGAACGATGCTAAAAAAAGATATTAAAATTTTATGGTCACGAGATCATAATTCCTCAAAATTAGAAATGTTCAAAGGCTGTCGCCGCTAGAATTCAAAAGGGTTCCGGTGTATTAAGTGGTACATAACTTATGTATTTTTATAGATACGGTCGTAAAATTCAACTTTTTCCCTATGAATCCGTGAAAGAACAGGCATCCGGAGACAGGAGTAACGAACATTCTTGCGACCATAAAATTTTACCAATTGCCACGGCCGCCGGCCACGCCTCCTGTGTGTTTTACGACTCATTTTATGCTTTGCACCGACGTTACTACGCTGTGACTGCACCCTTCTGCTATGTCAATAATCATCCATGTACATAAATGCACTTCAGTCTTTCAATTGTTAGTCTGATCTGTACGTAACGGTGTTTCGATGTACCGATGTCCTATATTTATTTGTCATAACATGTTAAGATATCGTTATATTTTACACCATGTCATTAGACTTACAGCCATGCCCTTTTATCAATATCTTCATCCATATCCTCCTTGTCGCTTGAACTTTAATTTTATATTGCACTTTTTAGTTCATTAACCCTAATGCTCAACCATTTAACGTCTGTAGCACCGTTTGAACTCAATAAAAGTCGAGTTAAGTTAAATTTACTGAAGAATTATTCCATTAAGTAATTAAGACGAGTGTTGTTATAAAAGTCATTGTTCAGAAAATTATCAACTATGTTATTCAGTGCTATAACATCTCAATGTAATCTTTTGTTCTTTTCAGATTTTATGAAGACTCGCAAACGGTTATCGAATACGGGCAAGAAATCTCCGGCGCACACGCATAAGCACGAGTGCGGGCATGGTGCCCACATCCGTCCCCCGAAGGTGGCGAGGCTTGCGCAGGCGCATTTCAAACGATCTAGCTAGGCGTTTCTCTTCTCCACATCGTAACTGGATAGAACATCGAATATAATATTTTTTTTTTACCGGGCAGCTACACAGATCATGATAGACCAGTGTAAAAGTACATCATGGATTTATATTTCAGTGGGAGTTGCAATGTGTACATTTTCTTTTAATTTATTTTGAATGTTATAACATTTGATTGAAGAGCACGCATGAATATAATAATGTTAAGTAATTCGTAAAAGGCTGTCAAATGTAGTTAGTGGTTTAATTTATTTTATAATTCAGGACAGAGATTTTTATATTACGATCTATTGATATACACTAACTCATTTGATAATTCCTGCATTATAATTTGTGTTTGTCTTATGAAGTAAAATAGTTTCATTCGATGTATGTTAAGATCCTCTGATTGTACATTATCCATTTTTTTTTCTTCTCCATTTTGTCACATCACATTTTGTTATACAAACAAAAATAGCTTAATTCAATATCCTTCTTTCTTTTTAGAAAGAACGATGTTCAAATGAGTGATTTTTGACCATGAAATATTATATTCTTCAAAGCGTTGCAATAATATAACATTACTGATATTATTTTTTAAGTTTATTATGATGATCTCTTTGAAAAATAAGTAACTTAAGTTATGTAGGCTGATAGTTGTAGAATGATAAATAAGGCCCAAATATAGCGTTCAGTTTAAATTATTCTAAGCTTACGTTAATCGCGTCTATAAGGTTCACAAATTCAACAAAGTTTTGCACTATTTTGATGTACGGTGGAAATGAAATTTCTACTAAGTCCATCGGAATATTTCGGTCCATAACAATGTTTGCTGTCTCGAGAAATTTTATTTCTTTTGTATCCTTGTTACGCCCCATACCAAACTTATACTCAGGTACTCCAATTTTTTTTTTTTATTTCCAATAATATAACCCTAAAGTAATTTCCAAGTGCTCTTTTATCGATTACACATAATACATATTGCTTTTTCTGATTTTTGTGTCAACCAATTCTAACTCTGGTAACCTAAGGGCCATACAGGAAGGGAAATCCGCCAGCATTTTGTCACCTCATAGTTAATAAGTTATGATAGTTTTTAACTAGGATTATTGTTTATGTCATCTTTTAAGATCTGCTTTCCTTTAATATTTTTTTTTCACATGTATACGTTTACCCATTCATAAAATATTCATAAAAAAGTCAAACTTCTCTTAAACCTATTTTAGCTATTGAACTATTTCGCCTCTTTGCCCCCTGTGTAAAAAAAAAACTTTAAATTCCCAATTTGAAATAAAGTGACTAAATAGTGCAATAGTTAGATTTGTACAAGGTTTAAGTTTTTAAGAATAAGAGGTTTAATTTATAATTAAAAACTACTACCTTTATTTCTTCTTGGTTCAAATAAAGTCTTGGAGTTCCTGAGAATATGCCAGCGTGAGGGATGCAAAAGATAATTTCTCTTTCCACTCTAACGCAGATTAGTTTAAGCGAAATACAAATACTCAACAAACGAGAACCTTGCGTGATTATTATAAACCATTTGACAACATTTAGACTTTAACTTGAAACAATTTTAACGATGCATTGAGTATTTGTGTTTTATTCTCCAACTATTACAGAGTTAGGTTAACTTAGCACATATTCTAGGTATGTTTGTTTTGTTGTTGTATTTTAATGGATTATATTGACGATTGTTTTTAATATTCGATATCTAAAAGTTTAGCTGTAATTTATCCTGTTTGAATAGTGCTTAAATTTTTTTTCTCCTGCAAACACACCGATACAGTAATTCGATAAAAGCCGCGACCTTATAAAAGTACAAATTAATTCCACGAGCTCTAGGTAAAGAGGTCGCGGTGTACACGACGAAAAGACAATATAATTATCATTCATCGTTATTTTTAGTTATTTAAAACATTATATTATAATTTTATTAAGTGCTACATTACATACACTGGGTATGTTATTATATTGATGCAGATCATGTATAATTAATGTATACAGAATGCATAACCAAAGTACTCAGTCGACAATATTCGACATTGCCAATGAAATATTAAATGAAATTCATTTGACGATACAGAATCATAGCTATTTACAATAATGTAATGTTACTAAACGTATATTTTCTTTGACGTGTGACCAAGTGTTCGTTTAATTTATGGCATGTTTAAATTGACGTTATCCTTGATTATTATGAATTATGTACTAGTGAGGTCTCGCTTGTGAACGCACTACGTATATCAGAACTTTGAGAATTGTAAAATTATTTATGTGTCGACTTGTAGTCTGGTAAACTTGTAGACTAGACGACATACATAAATAGTGTTATTATATAATATTTACCGAAATTACAGAACATTTTAAAATAATAAATAAAACATTAAACAGCATACTTCTATTCCATTATTTATTTGTATACATTGGTCGAGTTTCTTAAATTATGATTAGAAAAGAGTAAAGATATTTCCGAAATTTCTATGACTAACACTACCATTGATTTACGGGTTGTAAAATGCATAGTTCCAGTTTTAATGAAAATTTAATAGATTTAAAACAAATAAAAGAATTACGAGTAATTGCATAATCTAATAATATCTCAGATATTTGTTTGAAAAACGAAAAAAATCTTGTTATTAATTATACTTTAAATCGAGCCTTCATTTGCGAGACCACACCAAAAATTTTGATATAAATTTTGTTATTATACTATTTTTTTTTATGAGAATTCAATGCTTTATTAGAAGTACGGGAACAATTTGTGTCCGGATCATCAACGAATTCATTTGTCCACATCCAAGTCTTCAAGTTCACCTACTTAAATGTCCACTCCAAATACGCCGACGGGCGCTGTAACATAATTTTAATTTAATATTCTATCATAACACCTGTGATGTATTAAATATGATCTCAAACCATAATTTAAATATACGCAACGTCATATTTAATTGTTTAAATAAGTGTTAGTTACATTAAGTAACTATAAAACACCTGTATCCCTGTGGCAATGAATGAGAAACATTTAATACATCAGATAATTTTATATTGTTTAAACGTTAGAGTTATAATAAGAGGGTCTTCTCTTGAAGAAATGTATGAAATAAAAGGTGACGGCGCGGCGAAATGGTCTCCGTCGCACTGTACATAATGCTGATACACGTGTATTTATTGAGAGCGGTGCACCATTACGCTGCGACGTTAGTAGGGGATACGAAAATTATTAATATATAACTATATATATATATATATATATATATATATATTTAAAGCCGCAGAGGCGATCTAAACACCATTGTGCCAAATAACTATGTTTTGTCACATATTAATGTGCGTACTTCTCAATTGTGCGAAGTTATTTGGAGAACAGGTTTGGTTTGCTCATAATATGTATACTTTTTACATTGGCGTGGTTCTCTTTCAAATGCTTAAAATACACATACTTGAGTTCATAGGCTACGGTAATTGCTTACCATCAGGTGGGACGTATGCTTGTTTAACACCTCAATGTTTAATAAAAAAGTCCATCTCTCTTCTACTGATGTAACAGATAAAACGTTACATTGTTGACATATTTCTGTTCGGGTATAATTTGTTAATACATTAAATTGACAAAAAATAACTTAAATAAAATTAAAAAAAGGACTACCTATGTTACACTATATCCCGTATGGAGCAGCCAAAGAGAACTATGCTTCTGTAAACTTAATTAAACGCGCAAACCATTACCGTTTGTATATATTGCGCGGGAAATTTATTCATAATTATATAGTGTTTCGAGTAAGTAATATGTTTTATGTATAAACAACTTAATTTAGTTAAAAAAGCTTATTCTAACTTTGTTGTTTTTTTTATTACCCACTTCCTTGGTCCAACGGAGATATGGTCCTTGAACAGGGATGCGATCCCTATGAAATAACCGAAGCATGCTGTTCTAATTAGGCGGACCAATCAACGATACATTTATTCCAGGATATTCTAAATGCAACGGTCTTTTAGTACCGCTATAATATTAGTATCGTAAAAATATTTAAAATAATCAGATTTCAGTGTACTCATCTACCTACTTGTTTTACAAAACTATAAAACAATTTGGTATGTAAGTAGAGAATAACTAAGTTCCGAATCACGTAGGTCAAAAATTTACGGTCATTTTGTCAAAATAGAGCGAAGCAATGCTTGAAAAGTAAAAACAAAAATTGAATAAATATAGTTGAAAGAATTCTAATTAGCAGAGGAATTAACACTGGAATCCGTATTAGCAGAGAGAATTTTTTAACGTGCAAGTGTCTTCGTGGTCTCCACGTTCCCACTCGTGTCTGCCGCAAGGCACCTCTGCTCGCATAGCTTTAAAACACTCTTATTGTATAACAGAATAAAAAAGGTTTAGTTCTCAAGATGAGAACTACGCATGAGGGTTACCATAACCATAGGTTAGGAGCAGCAAATAATAGATGGTCCTTGTTGCCAGGATTAAATCAGTTGAAAGCTCTGATTAAGGGGTTTTCAGGGAAATAAAAATACATTCTTTCAAGTAGGAACAATATGTGTATATTAATAAGGCCTCTCAATGGACACTGCAAACTAAACAAGCACATGGCCTAACTAGGCTAATACCCAAAAAGTTTTTGCAGATTTTAGTCACAGTGAGAAAGAAACGCCGCAGCACTTAATTTGTGGCTGTAACTTACTCATACATAAACTCATAAATAATATTCCTTTGGAAAATTCACTTTATATAGGAGATAAAAAACATCGCTAAAAGAAACATCTCAAAATTCCTATCATTGATAGAAATTAGCAACGTACTTTAAAAAAAGGGCGAGCACAAAAGATGGAAAGGTCGCAGTATCACAGATTTTTCTGTCTGAAAAGCCCGTCTTTCAATAATAATAACACCATAACCATCACAGTGTCCACTAAGCCACTGGTGCTGTTTATGTCTAAAAACTACATTTGTCACTTTCCATCAAGTAGATCATCAGTTTATTTACCATTCCACGTCGCATAAAAAAATCTGTCTCGGATACTTCGTTTTTATTTGTGTAGACAGAAGTATCTATACTCCTAGCGCAGTCATTAAAATGACATTAGATGGTTACATTATAAAACGAAGATAGCCATATCTATACGTACGAGACCGTTGAAGATATGACAAATGGAATGAAGCAGCCATTAACACTCGGCTGACTTGGAATAGCTCTAAACCTTTTAACTGCAGTTGGATAAGGCCACCGGATAGAACGCAAATGGCAAATTAGAAAAGGGAATTATACTTTAAAATTTTGTTCTACAAAAAAAGCACTGACATGAATCAATCGTGCTAAAATCAGTTGTTTTGATTTAAAAACGAAACTATTTTTTGTAATTGATGATAATGGGATGGTAACCTCTTATGATATGATATGATATGATAAGGGGTTACCATCCCAGATAATGATGATAGTATATATCAGACATGATAATGGTAACACTGGCGGGGCACCGATGAGGAGTGATAGGTGAGAATGAAAAGGCAGGTCCATTAGCCCATCGTGATGAATACACCAGGAATTCATCATGATGGTTTCCAGAGGGAACCGCGTGGAAGTCGATCTGAGAAGGGTATATTGCTAGCAATGGCTCAGTTAGACCATATTACTATTAACCCCTTTCCCTCTTAAACGAAACTATTGAACCGATTTTAATAAAATAACTACGGGACCAATCTAAAAGTATATCCTTATGAATAAAAAAAAAAAAAATTATCCAACTCGGTTTATAAACGAGTTTTGAAACAGCAAACAAATACAACCGAATTGAGAACCTCATCCTTTTTATTAAGTCGGTTAAAAGCTACTCGACTAATTTTCGAATCCAATTACCATCAGATTTTACATTAATTTACTGTATAGTTATAATTCGTCAATGCAGTTGACTGAACTGCATTCAATTCAGCAGTGGACAGATAACGGCTGATATGATGATGATGATGATAATATTAAAAAAGTGATTAATCAAAAGTAAAAATTTTACTGAAATAGTTATTATGCGAAAGTCCACATCACTGGTTATTCGAATAGAATTATTTTGTTCAATTCCGCTACCATTAGATATGTGTGACTGCCAACATTACAATATTGACACCACTATTACTACCGAATTTCGACAGCCTTAGCCATCAATCTCCGACTGGCATTTTGTTCACGCACGTTTTGCAATACGTGTTTCACTTTTAAACGAGGTATCTTCAGGTAAATTATTAGTTCGCTGCTCGGAGCCTTGTGTTAACCGTTCAGCACCCAAATTGCGATTCGCGTGCCATTAGCAGTCACACACATTGCGTAGCTGAATTAAACAAAATAATTATATTTAAATAACAAGTATCAATGTTCCTGTAGAAATCTGACAGTACATGAGTTAATGCGCTCGATTCTGTAGTGCTATTTCTCTAATCTTTAAAATTAAATTTCAGTTTGATATTATAGTAAAATATTTATTATTACGACCAATATGAACTAATTTTCTAATAGATTCAAGTGAAAACAGTAATTTCACAAAATTATCAAATTTAATGTTAAGAGATAAGTTTAGAGAAATAGCGCACTTCAGACTCGCTCCAATGTTGCCCGCTCCAATGCTAAAATTTCGCCTGGTCAGTTCAGTTGTTTGTTACTGCAAATTTATAATTTAAAGTAGCAATTTTGTTTCATTAGTACTACAGTAGGTATGCACTAATTTTTTTTTTCTTTTTTTATGCAACTTAGAATGGCAAACAAGCTGACGGCCCACCTGATGAAAAGTGGTAACCGTCGCCTATAGACATGACATATCATGACACAGAGTATACTATTTCGCCTATGATACCCCCCATGCGTTGCCATTCCTGAAGACTCAGGTATTATTCGTCTGTACCCTATAAATTCACTGCCATATCTCAAAAAATATCAAAATAGCAACCCTATTTATACCAAACATTATTAGACTGGGGGGAATGGATTGTTAGTAATGGTAAGGTTAGTCCCTAATGCTATCAATATACCCTATCAAGTCGGCCTCCACGTGGTTCCCCCTGGAAACTATCGTGACTAATTTATCGTTGAATTCATCACGATGGGCTACCTTTTCATCCTCAGCTCATCACCGCTCACTGGTACCCCGCTAGTGTATACCGATAGCGCAGACGAGGTCAGCATACCATTTTCACCCATAAAAAAAAAAACATTTTTAGACCTAACAACTCAATTGCTATCCACAATTGTTTCCAGGGGAAACCAATAGTGCAAGCGGGGCTACCATTCCATTTCACACATAAAAAAATCTAGATAATATAAATTATCTAGTCAAATAAAACACTTGTATTTACTCGACATTGCTACGAATATATAGGAGTACTTTTAGATACAAGTAAAAATGCTTAGTGCAATACCATGGGCTTATATGGCAAACTACCGTTTCGCCAGTGAGCGCGAATCGGCCACGCGAGTTAATAAAACTACACGAAACTGCACCATTGTGCTCCTCGTACAATGATGTCTAAACAGTTTAATTTTATAATTTCTGTGTCTGTATATTCGTAAGTAGAAATTGTTTATTACAACCTATCCCTTGTCCACTGCTGGGACACATAGATTTCTCTAATATTATACTACACAGTATGATCGTACCTCATTCACATCCAGAGACTCCCTATAACACTTGATCGTCGGGGGGAAAGGGGTTGTTAGCAACGGAGTTTGACAGTCCCATTGTTATCAATATGACCTATTAGGTCGACCTCCACGTGGTTCCCCCTGGAAACCATCGTGAACAATTCTTATTGAATTCGTCACGATGGGCTAACTGATTTGCTTCATCCTCATATATCATCCTTCACTGGTGCCCCGCTGATGTATACAGATAGCGCGAGTAGGGTTAGCATTCCATTATCACCCGTTAAAAAAAAACACTTGATCGTCACTCCATCTCGCGGGAGATCATCCCACACTGCGCTCACCCACCCGGGGTCGTCGTGGGTACGAATGCGGCGCTAAAAATATGCGGGGAAGCTAAAATGAAACAAGTAATTTGGATGCTCGTATGAAAATGTTTACTGATATCACAATCAATTCTACACAACTACCCGATTACCCATCATATTCGTGTACACGCCGATTATGGATGACACATAAAAGATACACTTTAGTACACTCAAACGCCGCAACATGGCCGACGTCGCTAGCGTACACGTAACACTATAAATACAATTTATTTATTCAATGAAACAGTGACTATACCTGGATTATATGCAAAAGTTCTTTCTGGCGTGCTATAAAAGATTTTATTCATCTAAACTGCTAGAACACACAGACACACTCATGTATATCATTTAACGTATGGTGGCAAGCGGCAACGTCTAACAGCACGGTAGAGAACATTAAATAAAAATGATACAAATGAGTATGTTGCGTGTTGGACAATCCGAGCTACGTGTTCACAATAGTACTTCAGGAGTGACAAAAAAGTAAAAAAACAATCTACTCGAATAGAAAATTACTCGCTAGTCAGTACAGCACTATTTTTAGTTAGAAATATAATAAGTTACCAGGATCAGAATAAGAAATTAGTGTAATGTATATTTAAAAACATGTTAATTCCATAAAATCCACAAGAATTGAATTTAATAATTACAAAATGAAGCGTGCAATTATTTTTGTTAATAATGAGATGGGGAGAAAAAAGGAGTTATTGTCTCAAAATACATAATTAGGTACATATTGGAGGCTATTCAATGATTACAATGAAGGTATGTAGGTATACATACATACAATTTCTTTATGTTTTTGTTTTAAAACAACGCATGGAGCCTGAGCATGCAC